GAAGAAGCTTTTAAATTGCCAATCCCATTTTACAGTGTTCACACTACCTCTCAGTGCATTTACGTTGACATAACCACATATTTTGCAATTTTGCATGGAGATCTATATTTTGATGAAAATTTGAGGCTTTCCTCACTTGTAATAGAAAATTTTGTTTTCACACCTGCTTGATGTGATATAAGCTGCCACAAAACCACGAATTTGACATATCTGTTGAATAATGACTGTAGATGAAGGCATATGGCATGCTTCCCTTCATCGGCCAGGGCACTGAGTTTAAAAATTGGCAGCTTTGTAGAGCCTTAGTTAGGCCGCATTTGGAATATTATGTTCAATTCTGGTCACCACACTACCAGAAGGATGTGGTGGCTTTATAGAGGGTACAAAAAGGATTTCCCAGGACGTTGATAATAAGGTGTAGAGCTGGATGAACACAGCAGACCAGGCAGCATCAGAGGAGCATTTCCCTGACCTCATCCCAAGCCCAGCCCATCTCATCTCCGCCTCCTTGATCTGTCCATCTTTTCTCCCACCTATCTGCTCCTCCCACCTCACTGACCAACACCCACCCCCACTTCCTACCTACTAGCCTCATCCCCACCTCCTTGACCTGTCCGTCCTTCCTTGACTGACCAACCCCCATCCTAACTCCCCACCTACACTCACCTTTCCTGGCTCCATCCCCGCCTCTTTGACCTGTCCGTCTTCTCTCCACCTATCTGCTCCTCTATCCACATTCCATTATCACATCACTCTCTCTATTTATTTTAGAACCCCCTTCCCCTCCCCCATTTCTGAAGAAGGATCCAGACTCGAAACGTCAGCTTTCCTGCTCCTCTGATGCTGCCTGGCCTGCTGTGTTCATCCAGCTCAACACCTTGTTATCTCAGACTCCAGCATCGGCAGTTCCTACTATCTCTGAGTGAGTTCTTTCCCAGGATGTTGCCTGGTATAGACGGCATTAGCTATGAGGAGAGGTTGGAGAAACTTGGATTGTTCTCACTGGAACGACGGAGATTGAGGGATGACCTGATAGACGTCTACAAGATTATGCAGGATATGGACAGTGTGGACAGTCAGAAACTTTTACCCAGGGTGGAAGAGTCAGTTTCTAGGGGCCATAAGTTTAAGGTGTGAAGGGCAAGGTTTAAAGGTGATTTACGAGGCAAGTTTTTTACACAAAGTTTTTTTACACAGAGGGTGGTGGGTGCCTGGAACCCGCTGCCAGTGGAGATAGTGGAAGCAGATACAATGGTGACTTTTAAAGGGCATCTTGACAAATACATGGATAGGATGGGAATTGAGGGATATGGTCCCCGGGAGGGTAGACAGTTTTAGTTGTGACAGGTAGCATGTCGGTGCAGGCTTGGAGGGCCGAAGGGCCTGTTCCTGTGCTGTAAATTTCTTTGTTCTTTGTTAGTTAGCCCTGAATCAGCAAGGCCGAACTTCGTCATTGAAAGCATGAGTACGTTGGTGCAAATGGATAATTGGACTATCTTCAATTATTGGACTATTGACCCTACAGCTTATATCTGAGTAATATGTTGCCCACAGAAAACTAGTGACTATCCACTTATCAATAGGTGACAAATGCATTGGTTAGCCTGCGTTTTCATCTCCTCTCCATTAAAAACAGTCACATGCCTGTTTAGTAAAACCCCTGAATAAAGTGGATGATTAGGAACTGTGTATGCCTAATTCCAAGCCCATTCTCAGTATAATGAAATCAGGAAATTTATGCTTCTGTTCTTTGATGCATGAAATTATTTTTGTCTGTGTGCTAAGTATTTCAATTATAATTTGCATTTTAAAAACAGAAAGATGGTGTCAATCAGAAACAAAAACAGAAGTTGCTGGAAAAGCTCAGCAGGTCTGGCAGCATCCATGAAGAGGACTCAGAGTTAACATTTCAGGTCTGGTGACCCTTCCTGTTCCGAAGAAGGGTCACCGGACCCGAAATGTTAACCTCCATACTTTGCATTTTGAGTAACAAGACATGAATAAGCAATGATAAATATTTCAAGGTTCTGCAAGGACATGCTTTGACCGTACTGGTTGACAGACAGAATTTATGGGATGGAATCGTGGGTTATCTACTTAGAACATGATACATCGATTACATAAGATATAAAGCGTAGAAACAAGCAATTTCGTCTAGCCAGTCTATTACAGAGTTTATGTTCCATTCATGCCTCCTTTCATTTTTCCTTGTCTAAATCTATTATTGCAGAATGTATTCCATTCTACTTCGGTATGCTTGTCTAGATTCTTCTTAAATCTGGATACACTGTCCCTTTCAACATTCCCTGTGATAGTGGGTTTCACTATTGAGGTTAGAAAAAAACGTTCCTTTCAAATTTTCTTTTGCACTTCTTTTCACGTATTGATGCCTGTTGGTTATGCTTTTTTTCCTGCAATAGGAATCATTCTCTCTTTATTAACTATTTCAAAATGTTTCAGAATTTAAAGACTCCCCAGACTTTTAAAATTAAGGATAAAGTGACTTAGCCTGTCAATCCTTTCCTGATACATATACCCAAGTGTGCACTGTGATGTAGGACAGCCTTCTATTGCCTGCAGTTTTCATGTTCCATCTTCTTTCATAACAACTCTCATGTTCTGAGGTATTGTAGACCATTGGGTGTGGTTGTCAGCTCCTGCTGGACCTGGGGTACTGCCAATATCTAAGAAACTAGCTTTGGAATTTCTAACAGCACAATTGTGCTTAGACCAAACTCATTTAACATGTCCATGTTGACAGCTCCTATTAATGATGCTGCTTTTCTAAGGTTCCAGTATCATGCCTCCAGATTGGGCTTTCTCTCCATCGATCACATCATTTCTTCTCCTCCAGTCCTACAGCCTTTATAATGGCTGCAGCATTTCAGCAGAACTAAACATTTAAAGCCTGGTAAAATGTGAAGATTGAGTTTTGAAGGGCGAGTAAATGGTCCAAGTTTTGTGTTTCCTTTTTATATGTTTAGTTCAACTTTTCACCCTTTAGGGTAATATGCCTTCAGTATTTCGTAAAATTAATTACTCTTTGTGTTATTGAACAATGTGAAGATTTTAAAATGAAATATTCTGCCCTTCTCTCAGTAAGCCATTTAATTTTGCAATATTTACTGAATTGTTATCAGACTCAGAACATGTTGTGACTGAATCTCCATCCATGCCCATTCAGATGGAGTCTTTCTATAAATATTGTGGAAACAGCAGAAAAATAGTCACTAACCTATTTATGCTAGGTTTTGAATTTACACCAAAGATTCCTATTAGCCTTGTGGGGTTCAAACCTCTGTCTATTCTATAGAGTCCATTGGCATATGGGGAGGTAGAATTGAGATAGGGAATTGAAGCATTGGTTTCTGTGCCTGAGCTTACAAATGGTAAGACATGTGTTGGTACCCTTGGAGAAATAGAGTGGCTGTCAGGTCCATTTCAGTGTACACTTAACATGAAATACACCATCCTACACACTCTCAAAGAATTCCCTACTGATCAGAGCCCAGCTGTTCTACTTCTAAAACTTCCACAGTTGAGATACGTTAACTCAGCACATATTTGGCATTAAATCTGTGGGTCCTGGAGCTGTTTGAATTAATACTATTTGTGTCTGTGCAGATATAGAGACAGTTTGTGACCATCTGCAACAAGACCTGATATCAAGCTTAGGCTGATAAAGTAGTAAGTAATAATCGTGCTATACAAGTGGCAAGCAGTGACCATTTCCTTCAAGAAGTGACAATATAACCATCTTCCATTGACATTCAATGACATTACAATTGTTGAATATCCAAAATTCACATATTTTAGGTTACCATGAACAAAACACTGATTTGGACCAGCCACGTAAGTACTGTGTCAATGACAGCAGGTCAGAGCTGGGAATTATGTACCTGTCTGACTCCTTAAAGCTTGTTCAGAGGTCAAGAACATGATGGAATACTCTCCATTTACTTGGATGAATGCCGTTCTACCAACATTCAAATGGATGACAGCATCTAGGACAAAGCAGCCTACTTGACTGGCACTGCATACACCACATCAAATATTCAATTCCTCCACTCTCAATGCACAATTTTCATTCGACCTCCACCATTTGGAATGACAGGGACAGCAGCTGCATGGGAACACCATCACATCTGTTCCCTCCAAGTCACAGACCAAACAGGCTTAGAACCTTATTGCTATGCATTCGCTACCACTTGGTGAAAATCCTGGGACTCCCTACCTAACGTCATCCCTATATCACATGTACCAAAGCATTTCAAGAAGGAAGCTCACCATTTTCTCAAGAGCAACTAAACAACAAACAATCTGTAAAGAATTACAACAAAACACATTTTATTCAGTTATTCAGGAAATATTAAGTAATTACAATTTTAAAACCAATTACTCAGCAGTACAGATACTAACCAAATCTGTTCTTAAAGTTCATTTAAGCTTCAGGCAATTATAACTGTTTACAAAGTGTTGCATTCATTCTTAAAACAATTATAAATTTCAGGTTTTGTTTCAGTGACAAGCATTTTAACTTTTCTTTAACAGTTGCAACAAGTCGACTGCAATATCCCATGTTGATGATGCAGATGAATCACTAGTTAATTAAATACAGATTCACTTCTTTTCTCACCCAATTGGGAGTCTTTAGACTGCGTAAAACAAATCACTAAAAATGTTTATAGATGTCAGCTCTTAGTGTTTTACCAATGCAGCTTCAGAACCTGCTGGGCAATTGGGGGAAGGTGATCTAAGAATGATCTTCCCCTTAAATTTCCACTCTTCCCTGTGTGGAAGTGTCTGGCTTCCTTTCACTGTATCTCCATAGTGAAATTGCTGATATTATAAACTTAGTGTGGAGAGGATTACAAGTTTGATACTGTGTCATAATGCTGTCATCAATGATAAGGCAGTCAATTTAGGTGATAACTTTAAATATTTGTGATTAGTGGCTAACTGGACAGCTTAACTCTAATTTACTTCATTTACATTTTCAGATCCACACAATGCAATGGCCATCAGGATCTCGTCAGGTTCCAGCATCAATTTGCAGCCTTCCATGCAAACCAGGGGAAAGAAAAAAAATTGTAAAGGGCATTCCTTGTTGTTGGCATTGTGAACTTTGTGATGGTTACCAATACCAGGTGGATAAGTACAACTGCAAGATCTGCCACTTTGACATGCGTCCCAATGAAAACCACACAGGATGTCGCCCAATTCCCATCGTCAAATTGGAGTGGTATTCCCCTTGGGCTGTTGCACCTGTATTCTTTGCAATTATTGGTATCATTGCTACACTATTTGTTGTCATAACGTTTATACGTTACAATGACACACCAATAGTAAAAGCATCTGGACGAGAATTAAGTTATGTGCTTCTCACAGGAATTTTCCTCTGTTATGCTATTACCTTCCTTATGATAGCAGAGCCCGATGTTGCCATCTGCTCCATGCGACGGATCTTTCTTGGATTGGGTATGAGTATCAGCTACGCGGCCTTACTCACTAAGACGAACAGGATTTATCGGATATTCGAGCAAGGCAAGAAATCAGTCAGTGCCCCCAGGTTTATCAGTCCAGCCTCTCAGCTCATGATAACTTTCAGTTTTATTTCTGTGCAACTGCTGGGTGTCTGTATCTGGTTTATTGCTGACCCACCACACTCCTACATAGACTATGATGACCAAAAGACTGCCAATCCTCAGTTTGCTCGTGGAATTCTCAAATGTGATATTTCTGATCTGTCTCTCATCTGTTTGCTTGGATACAGCATGCTCCTCATGGTCACATGCACCGTGTATGCCATCAAAACCAGAGGGGTTCCAGAGACCTTCAATGAGGCCAAACCTATTGGATTTACCATGTACACCACCTGCATTGTCTGGTTAGCCTTCATTCCAATATTTTTCGGTACTGCACAGTCAGCAGAAAAAGTAAGTACAACTGCACTGCAAAGCTATACTTTGTGCCATCATTAATGTGTAATTCACAAATATTGTTTCATTGAAATTGATTAACAATATTATGATTTTGAAAGATGAGGAGGCTGCAAAGAATCATAATAGTGATTCTGGGCATGTAGTAACTATTAGGATATGGTGCATCATCCTTTGCAATCATCTGTTACCATTGGTCCAATTTTCTGATTTCCAGTGCCCAGATCACTGGACCTGTCCCAGACCCAGGAAAGTCCATTCTATTCTCTTTAGCCAGGTATCATAACTTTAAACATTCATGGTGAATCCAGATTGACTTTTATTTTATGGAACTCTGAAAGCATTTGGACGAACAAAAAATTTGTCAATTAATCTGCTTACTTCAAGTTTTTTCTTTGTCAGCAGATATGGTAAAATGTTCATTTTCTTCTCAGTTCAGTTCAGTTCAGTTCTGCTAATGGCTTTCTATTGCTACCATTTACCAGAAAATAGTACAGTTTTTCCCCCTGCTGTCAAGTTTAGATTATGAGCAGTCACTAATAAATCATTATATGTGTAATATTTCCCATTTGCTTTCCCATTGCCATATTTGTAATTATCCTTCTCAATGATTGAATGCAAATAATTGATTTATTATTGGCACTTCTTGCTAATTTCTGGCGTTAAACTGAAGCAATTTCTTACTCTCAAATTGAACAGAACAAAATAAAGCAGGTAATGAATGCTGCAGTGCAAATTCATTTACTATGTTTCTGAAAAAAGCATTGACTTTCATGTCAGTACTGATCAATGCTGTCACCATCTGGACACACTGATAATTATATATATACAAAGTGTGGTTTGAAGGCTGAAACAGAAAATTATTGAGAGGTGATTTTTTTTGGTTTAGTTGATGATAGATTATCAGTACTGGTTGTAGACTGTTTACAAACACAAAATATATAGTTTATATTTAAAAAGACTAGCAGCATGCATTAGAACAAGGTTGTTACATGGTATTTCAACTTTATTAATATTAGTCATCAAAAAAAAGCTTTGATAACTGCAGGATGGTTAATGTTATTGAAGCAATTTAAGCAATAAGAACTTGAAAGGAAGACAAATGCACCAACTATAATATGAAATAATAAAAGTATATGCCTGGTTGTTACAGTAAAGGATGGAATACATCTTGAATCATACATTAGAAAACATGGAAAATAGCTGTTTCTGTTCTAAAAGCTCAACTAGAAATGTATAAAATTGTTGACCAGAGCCACAATTAAATCATGCCAACATTAACTAGAAAACTTGATCTTTTACTTTTTAAACAGAAATCTCTAAAAAACAAATACTGAGATTAATCTTGCTATAGGGTATTTTACACTTCAAGCAGCAAGTGACAGAAACAACTAGATGATTTTCTGATCATTCATTGAAATGGTCCCAGAATTTCTGCTATCTGCTGCAGTTAGTGAAACTCCCCACTAGGTGCTTGATATTGGAAATGCAACTTAATGTTTTTGATTTAGTTTGATTGCACTTTCCCAACTTGAATCTACTCAACATCTGAATATTGTCATTCACTTTACTGATTTTCTTTAAAGTGTATTTATATGACTTGATATGAATTCAGAGATACCATCTTATAGACAGCAATTAACTTAAAATTAATGACAAAAAAAACTAATTTTAAGAAGTTCCTTGTGCATTGGTTCAGAAGGGGACTGTTGTATTTCTAGCTTTAGGGTTTACCTTGTCCTAGAGTTCAGAGCTGTCTGTAATCTGCGGAAGTTTTACAATATCTAGCAATGCTGCAGCACACTCAAAACATTACAATAATTTCAAATGAACTTGATTATTTAATTTGGAATGTGATCAGGTGACCATTTAAAATTGCATTATCCAGTCTCGGTGCTACATATGCTTCAACCTAGCATCTGTTTTTTAACCGTGCTACTTCAAAATATGTTCACTTCACAGTAATGTGGTAATTTAGGCTACATGAAGACAGATGGATCCTCTTTCACCTTGGTTATTCAGAGACTTCAGTCAGAGACACAATGACCTTGGTCTAACCTGTCACTATTAAAATGCGTTATTGTTTGAAACTGGAGCTTGAGTTACAGAGGAAACTGCAAAATTGGCCATTTTTGGTACAGTATATATAGTATTTTGGTACATGAATATCTGCCATTTCAAAGCAAAAACAAGAGGAAAATTAGGTTTAAAACCCACAAAGTAAACGGGAACAGAATGGGCACAAATATGGGTCCAAAATTGTTCAAATCAATGTTAAATTTAGAAGGATGTGGAGTGCTTCGTCAAAAGCAATCCTGGAAAATCTGATTAGTTTGAATGCTTTTCCTGTGGGTTTACTCATTGTTAACTGTAGAAATAAAGGTTGCAGAAATTTAAATTACTTCAATGAAAGATGATGGAAGGAAAAACACAAAGAAATTGAATTATCTTTTTTTTTAAGAACAGATTGCTCCTCTACTATCCGCTGAGATGAAAATTAGGCATGACAAATGCAAGGAAGTGCATGGTGCAGAGAGACAGGGTCCGTGACAACAGACAGAAGACATTCATGGTGAAATAGGGCTGATATTTTTTCTCTCTTGGTACTGGGCATGTTGTGATGCTCAGTTTGCCTATTTTTTGTATGGTACACCATTTTCCCATAACAAAGGCATCTTTACTAATGAGGGTGGTGGAAGAAGCAAACAGGTTACCATTGTGTCCTATTACCCAAGGCCTTTACATGCACAGTGAAATTTGACAGCTCTCAGGCTGCAAGTCCTGTGGTGCTTAGAAGGCCCAGAAGATATATTGCATTGAAAATGTAGATATTGCTATTGGATTACTCCATGTGCTCTGTAAGGCCATCAAAGGAGGCAGAACTCATAAATCCTCGCAGTCCTCCTGTAATAAATACTCAGCAGATCAGCCTGTATCATATCCATTGTCATTTTAAATTGCTTCCTGTTCGTTTGCAGTATAGTGGCATCTTTTTTATACAGAGGTTATCTTTGTCTGCCAGAGTTGATTCATTTTTGTCCTTGTTTCCATGTGAAAGAAATGTTATAGGTGAAGCAGTAGGGATTACTCTGAAACTATATTCTTGGGATAGTTTGTACAACTCCCTCTTTATCAGGTTTTCAAACATCATCATCATTATTTGTGAGTGGGACCAACTAAGTTTGATTGATTTTATTGCCACGTGTACCAAAATACAGTCAAAAGCTTTGTTTACGAGCGGTACAGGCAGATCACGGTAAACAAAGGATGCACAGATCAACAAGACTTAGAGGCATACAGGTTACACTGCAGGTTACATTATTTGAGGCTAGAGTCTATTCAACAGTCTGATAATGGTTGGAAAGTAGCTGTTCCTGAACCTGCGTGTGTGTGTGTTCAGGCTTCTGTATTTTCTGCCTGACAGAAGAGATTATAAGGTCATTACCAGGGTGCGATGGGTCTTTGATGATGTTGGCCACCTTTCTGTGGCAGCGAGCCATGTAAATGGCATCCATGGATGGGAGGTTGGCTTCTGTGATGGTGTCAGCTGTGCACACCACCTTCTGTAGTTTCTTATGGTCCTGGCCAGAGCAGTTGCCATACCAGGCCATTATGAACCCAGACAATATGCTTTCAATGGTGCATCTGCAGACTTTGGTGAGAGACCTTATGGACATGCCAAATTTCCTGAGCTGCCTGGGGAAGAAGAGGTGTTGTTGTGCCTTTTTGACTGTCGCATTTACATGAGAAGTACAGGTCAGGTCGTCGGTCATTGTCACTCCAAGGAACTTGATGCTGTTCATTCTCTCAACCTCAGTTCTGTTGATGTAGATAGGGACATTAATGCAAGTGTTAGAATTTAAATGTTATAAAATATTTGTGATTAACCAAGAGTTTTACTTGGTTTTAATGCTACCTGACAGTGCCCAGCTGGTAGCACTTTTATCTCTGTATCAGCTAGTTATGTGTTCAAGTCCTGTTCCAGAGATTCCAGAATGTCGGGTGGTAATTCAACACATTATTGAAGGAGTACTACACTGTCCGAGCTGCTGTATTCTGGTTAACATGGTAAAATATGGCACCATCTGCCCTATTAGACGGAAAAGATCTGGTGTTGTTATTTCAAAGGAGAGCACAAATGCATATCCTCTAACATAACTAATATTAATTTTTCAAAAGAAGCAACTAAAACTAATTAACTGAATGTCATAAAAATGTTGTTTATGGAAGCTTGCTGTGGGCAAATTGTTTGTTATGTTCCAAACATGCAACAATGATAAATCTTCAAAATGCTCACTAGCTATAAATGCAAGTCTAGATTGTATGTGCAATTGGTGTCTTATTGTCTGAAAAACAGCATTAATGATTGATTATGAATGTGTATAACAAAACAAGCATACATTTTTGGACAGTTTTTACTTTAATCAGTTTTTTTGTTATCACGCTATGTTACATCTTCTAAACTGGTATTTTAGATTTTATTTGGTCTACTGATTAGTTGGTCTTTTTCCAGTGGTTTTTCATCTTCATTACTTTATTTTCATGGCTTTTTAACTTGTCAAAGAAACGTAAATCAATAACAACTGTGTTTCTCCAAGAGACAAAGCACAACATTAGAATGAGAGATAAACAACACATCCATCACTCATTCACATCTTCCAATGATATCTTGAATTATTCAGACAAAGAACAGATGTGCTCAAAAGCACATATTTGCTGGACAGTCAAAATTACAATGCTGGACATTGGCTAATAGGGAGAAGGGGGTGTGATGCGACTCCCAAATGAGAGAATTCTGAATTCAGCAGGTCCTTTTGAAATCAAATAGTCAATCATTCAAATATGCTCCTTTGTTGTGGTAATGGAAACCCTATCATACAGTAAATACATTACAATTTTTGAGTAGGTATCAATGCTCATAAATGGTAGATAAGGCCTATGGAAATGTCAAAGCTGACAAGTTATTTAATTGTCAGCACTTTAAGTTTTGATAAATA